CGAGACGCGCTATTAAATCAACGTTTTATCGCTTACCCCACTACCAACGTTAATTCATACTTTCCGCTTTCGTACTTTCATACTTTCACACCTCGTACGACACGAATAAAGCCATTCGTCTTGTACCTACCTACCACCACCACCACCATCATCACCATCACTAGTACCACCTCCAAAAGCTTTTCGCGAATATCTTTCCAAGAATAATTTTCTTATCCATGACATTAAACGTTCTCGATCGATCGATCGATCGATTCGATTCGATTCATTGCAAAGATAAGGGGGAAAAAGGAAAAACAAAGTTTTTACCCACGATAACGATTACATTTGTGATAGGAACGTAACATTTCTGTGAAACGTATTTGAGTGTAAGAAATTAATTCGGTACCATCCTTAAGCAGTTAAGTGTGTTTGACGACTATATCCGTCATGAAAGAATGGCAGAATTTTGTGTTATGACGGCTATATCCGTCATGCGTAAAATTTTGTTACAATTTGATATTTAAATTGTAATTCTGGCGAAAACTAAATTATATTCGTAAATTTTAATATGTTTAGAATGTTTAGGGGTCAGGACGAAATGAAATAAACAAATGAAAATTATAGATAATTTGAGTTGGATTTCTAACTTCCCGAGAGCTTTCTCCACCTTTTAGATGTTATATGTTTAAATTCATATTTAATTTATAAAAAAAAAATGGTGGAAAATTAAACAGAGTAAACTTTTTATTAGAATATATTGAGGATACAGTTGCATCGTATCCCATGGAATCACAAAAATCATCAGAACCTCGCCCAATGACATCCAATGTTTCACGTTTGATCGACAAACATTTCCCGGATTACATACCAGACACTTCAACAATAAAAAATCCATCCCGAAAATGTTCTATTTGTTATAAAAGCAAAATTAGAAAAGACAAGGTATTGGTGTCCGACATGCAAAGTGCCATTGTGCATCGTTCCCTGTTTCAGAACATATCACACGAAAGCAACATTATAAATTTTTAATTTCTACAAATATTTGATTTTTTTTCAATTTTTCGTTAATTATGTGTAAATATAGCTTTACGTTGATCCATTGTGTAAATATTACTAATAAATTCATTCATTTTCTAAAATAAAGTCGTCTTTTTGACCCAATATTTCAACAGCGCCACTTACTCTGTGTTTGACGACTATATCCGTCATCGCTTGATTATCACGACACACACTGGGGCGCACTTTGCAAAATAATCGACACAGTTAACTGGTTAATACAAATAAATTTTAATATTTAATTTGTATTAAAAAATGATCGGGCAAAGAAGAAAAGAAAAATTAGAAAAATTATCACGTTAGAATTATTTGCGTGTTCATTCGAACTCGCACGCGTATTTATTCGTTTTAAGTTAATAAATATTATACGTTAAGGAGACATAAAATAAAATTACGTGTACACAAGTTTTATCTTGGATCTACACACTGCGGTGTGTTTATATAATTTTCTTTAATAATAAAAAAAAAAAGGAAAAAAGATTTACGTTTATGGAATGTTATTATTATTCGCGTAACTCTATCAAATAGAATTGAAAATATTTCACGTTTTTTTCCCGATTTCTTATCAACAGTTATAACAAAACGAATGATGATTTTTACGCGAGAATGGGTGATTGCATAAGACGCTTCCGGCGTAGGTGGTTGTGCCTAAAAAAAAAAAGGAAAAAAAAATGTGAAGAAAATAAAAGAGGAAAAGAATGGAAGGGATAGGGGAGGGTAGAAGGGAAGAAGGGAAGTAGAAGTAGTTGGGAGAAAGGTGAATAAAAAGGAAGCCAAGAATGCCAGACGACGGACTTTAGAAGCAAGCAAAAGAATTTTCTCTCCAGGCTCTCTCTCTCTCTCTCTCCAGGCTCTCTCTCTCTCTCTCTCTCTCTCTCTCTCTCTCTTTCTCTCTTTCTGTTCCCTTCTTTTCTCTTCCCTTATTTTCCCTTTCCTTCCCTTCTCTTCTCTTTTCATCGTTTAGAACTTCTTGCGAATCCCAAATATTCCACCTACTCATCCTTTTTCGTTCTTCCTACGAAACTCGAGTCTCGGGTCTCGCGTGATACGCAAGAAGAAAGCTGGACTACTAACCGAAAGGTAAAAGATAGAAGAAAAGTTTTCCAGCCTTTTAAAAGAGAAAGAAAGAGAGAGAATCCTCGAAAGGAGATCTGTTGCTAAACTCTCCGAATTGTCCTAGAAAAATTCTTGGCAAACGGCGAAATGTTCGTCGTCGTCGTCGTCGAGCATCGACGAATCTACGCGAACTATGGAAAGGGATTACCACGTATATATATATATGTGTGTGTGTGTGTGTGTGTGTTTATTCGTGAATACGTGTATGTGTTTTAGCTTTGTATAAAACTTCGGTGAAATTGTCTCCCAGTTTTCCTACGAGATCTTCAAAGTCCAACGAAGGGAAATATTCGGGCTAGGGAAAAAAGAAAAAGTAAAAGTAAAAGTAAAATAAGAAGAAGAATAAGAAGAAGAGGAAGAAGAAGAAGAAGAAGAAGAAGAAGAGGAAAAGAGAATTTTCGATCGGACGTTTTCTTCGAGCCAAACAAGACGACGTTTCTTCGATTTTTCTCGCAATACCTTACTTCCATCCGTGTTTCTTTATAAAGAGAAACTGTTTGAAGAATAAACTTTGTCGGATAATAAGGATCTGTACGGAGATATATAAAATCGTTCGGAAGAAAATAACGAATAACAAAATCTCATGGGGTGGGATGGGGAGGGGGAAAGGGATTTTCTCTTATCGAGATTAAACCAAGACTTGGAACGAGTGGTGGAGGAAGGAAGAAGAAACTGGACGAACGAATGAAAACTATAAACTGGTTCAACAAATAACAAAGACTTGAATATAAGAGAGAAGAAGAAGAAGAAGAAGAAGAAGAAGAATAAGAATAAAAATAAGAATAAAAGAAAAATATCAAATCGTTGCTAGGATGTATTTTATAAAGGTGCTTCTCTCGATATGTACTCACCTGTATATACATATATATATACTTATACCCCTATATATATATAGTATACACAAGATAAAGAAAAAGATAAAGAAAAAGAAAAAGAAAAGAATCAACGCAGTTTTCAAGGTAGATTCTTGAATCGCGTATAGAAGTGAGGAAAAGAGTGTAACTCTCTGGAATGGTGGATAAGAGGAGGTGGAAAATGTGGAAAGGATGAAAGTCGAAAGCTCCGTAGTGAATAAGAAAGAAAGAAAGAAGGATAGACAGGCAGGCAGGCAGACATACATACATACATACATACATACATACATACATACATACATACATACATGCAGATAGACAGACAGACAGACAACAAGCTGGGGGAAAGAAAGAAAAAAAGAAAAAAAAAAGAAAGAGACGAGAGAAACTGAGAGAAATAAAAAGGAATTGTCATCGTACGATGGGTTGGATGCAACCACCCTTGTAACCATACCAAAAGCGAGAGCGGCCAAGTTTGCCCCGGCTTTAACTCCTTTTCTCTATCCAACATTCTCGAGACCCTCTTTACAACCACTGTCATTTGTTTTTACGTTTACTCCTCGTCGTCTTCGTCGTCGTTCCTTATAAAATCCGACGGGGTTCTCCTATACCTTTCCCAACAACCCATCCCCATTCCCATCCCCATTCCCATCCTCATCCCCATCCCCGACAACAGCCGCGAACTCGTTCTCTAACGTAGACTCCAATGTGAGATTTTCAACAGACGAAAAAAAGATAAAAGAATGGTGTTTCCAACGTGATAGAAAGAGATAGGATGGTTTGGATGCTTCTTCCTCGTTTAGGCGAGTTCAAACGCCATGGCAATCTTCGGCTAACTCACTACTTTCTCTTTCTCTTTTGCTTTTTCTTTTTTACATTTTCCTCTTATTCTTTTCTTACTAAAAAATAAGAACGAAAGAAGAAGAAGAAGAAGAAGAAGATGACAGAAAATTCCAAAAGTCTCGTAGAAAATACCACCCTTTTCTTTTTCTTTTTTTTCTATTTTTCTCATTCACTTCAACGTTAGGAATACTCATAGAAACGGCCCTATCCTCCTCCACCCCCGCCCTCATCCCGTTCTGTTAGAGATAACAAGAGAAGGAAATCTTTAAGGTAGCAATTTTGAACTACCAACTTCTTGGACCCCCATCTACTTACGACTAAATGAAACTTATACGGATAGAAATGTTTGGAAAAAGTAAAAGTTTTTTGGAACATTCAAAAAGGGAGGAGGAGAGAAACTCACGTCAATGCGTTACGAGATTTTTTATAGTAAACCTCAAAACCGGATTTACCGAAAGCGTGATAGCGATAGTAACCGTTCCAATCGTTAAAGTTTCCCTTTGCGAGTAAACGGAAGATAAGTACCGAACTTGAAAAAAAAAAAAAAACAAAAAAAAAGAGAGAAGGGTGGTATCCTTTTCTCAGGAAGGTAAATCCTTACACGATCGAAGGTAAATCTTTTTCTCTTAACCTAAGTAGAATAATCTTACAGGTAACCTCCTCCTATAACACGGTAGATAAGTTTGTAAAAAATGCCGTGTTGTGTACAACCGTGTTATATGAGACTCAAAATTCATTATTCCTTCGCGTTATTATTTTAAGATAATTTAGTTTCGAAATATGTTATCCAGCGCTGAAGAAATACAGTATTGTATTAAGATTTTCCCAATTATTTTATCGCGTTAGAACGAAACTGTGTTATTAGGATTTAATATTCTAGAAGGGGGTTACCAGTATTCGTAAATAAATTATTTAAAGTACATAACATTCGTTATCATAGACGATTAGTTTTCACAGATATTTGATTAAACGCGAGAAAAGTTTAACCTCATACAAATATTCGTATGTTCTTTAAGAAAAGAATAAGAAAAGAAGAATAAGAAGAAGAAACTAGAGAAATTTTTCGTTGCAACAGCCGTTAAAACAAAACGACTTCCTTTAAAAGGAAGAAGAAGAAGAAGAAGTTATGAGACATGAGAGAGTACTCACGAAAGCTGATGTTGGAGGGCTTTACGATTTTCGAGCAGACCCTGAAGAGGCCGAGCTTGAAGCGTACGCTCACAAGGTTTGTTGAGCTACTTGGTAAATACGGTACGTATAGTTTCTCTTCGGTGTGAAGCCAAGCTGGACCCAACAACGCAGTACTTAATGCTGCCAATGCTGCAAGCCCACAGACCACTCCGCATCTCGTCAATCTTGTCCCACCAGGACCACCCGGACAACACATCCTGCCTTCGTTAATGATGAAAAGATGATATTCTATTCTTTATCCGTATAATGCATTTTTCCTTTTGAATAGGAGATCACCTCGTTGACGAGATACCATCGTCTTTCACGATAAACGACGTCATTCGATGAATTACTACTTCTCGTCGATTCATTCTTCTTCGTTTTTTTCCTTTTTTGTATAAAAATGAATTTTTGTCCTATATCTAATTGTCCACTTTCTTTAACACAAGTTTTACATATACACTCAAGTTTATAATTAACTTCATAATATTTCGTTTAATATTTCTTTTTTTTCTTTTCACAACGATTCCAACGTCGATGAATTCCTGAAATGATTTTCCTCAAAATTATCATACAAAGAGAGAGAGAAAAAAAAGAAAGGAAATAAAAATGTCTTAAATGAAAAAAGTATAATAATGATAAATCAAATATAATATTTATCGATGATTAGAGATAAATATATTTTCGCGATTTAATCTATCATATTCTCGATCATTACACGCCAAGAAAAACTTGTTTACGAGAATTCGAACGAACGAACGAACGAACGTGGTAATCGAGACGACGGTTAACGCGATAACGAACGCCCACCCTCGGCCCCAACCCCCGTCCCCAAACCCCCTTCTGCCGGTGCACTTTTAATTGTGTGTCTTGGATTTCCCCCGTTCATGAATATTCCGTGCACGAAATAAAGGACATTTATTCGCGATATCCGTTCGATATTACTACGTAATTGGAAGTTATAATATAACTTTCGTGGTTTTAAGTGAGGATAAAAGATAAAATCATGAGTAACAAGGATAACGATTAGATCTAGAAAAAAGGATGTATCATTTTAACACGGCCCATAGTTTAAAAATATAAAATCGTGGATAACAAAGATAATAATTAGATATATATATGAGCCGTTTATTTTGAAAGTGGCATAAGTCACTTTTTTTTTTTTTTTTAATTGAAAATGAAAAGATACCGTTCAGTTGTAATTAGTGTTGCCATTAAATCGGTTTTTTTGAAAAAATGACTTATGCCACTTTCAAAATAAACGGCTCATACATAGATAAATAAATCAAGAAAAAAAAGATGAATCATTTAAACATTTTAACAGGGCCCCATAATTTTGCTATTTTTTTTAAAGGATCACAATTAAATATTAATATAGATAGATAAATAAATAGATCAAGAAAAAAAGAGATGAATCATTTTAACAAAGACCCATATACTTTCCCAATTTGAAAAAATGATAAAATTCATAAGTAACAAGAATAACGATATCACGTATATGATGTATAGATAAATAGATCAAGAAAAAAAAAAAGGGATGAATCATTTGAACAGGACCCATATACATTTGTTACTTTACAAAATCCCCCCTTTTCTCTCTCCGCAAAAAAAAAAAAAAAAAAAGAAAAAAGAAACGGTCTTATCCGATACTCTCGTTATTTTGAAAACGATACCGTAATTCAACGGATCATCATAGGGTAATTTCTATGCGAATACGTACATATGGTCGGCAGTTTCGAGCCTGTGGCGATTTGTCGGTCGAATAGCGATAACGCCCGTCCTCGTTCGATGAAAGCGAATAATCCCGGCTTCGATAAGCGAGTTATCGAGACTCCATCGAGTTTGACTTTATCGATTCTCTCACTCTCTCTCTCTCTCTCACACTCTATCTATCTATCTATCTATCTATCTATCTATCTATCTATCTATCTATCTCTTCACTAGGGAATCGAACGATCGGTATTCGCTCGATCTGGTTCTCTTTCTCTCTCTCTCTCTCTCTCTCTCTCTCGATCTGGTTCTCTTTCTCTCTCTTTCTCTCTCTTTCTCTCTTTCAACCGCATACCACACGGCTTAATGCACGATCCGACTTTTCTTCGATTTTCGATTGCCCGATCACGAAACGACGACCTACGGAGAAAATCCTATTTTGGTCTCCCCCTTCTAAAAGATTTAACGCCTTTAAAACTTATGCGAAAAAATCGCGATGGCTGCTAAAACTCGATCACTTTTATTCCTTTCATTCTTATCCGTTCTAGTTACCTCTCCAGTTGTCATTATTTCACATTCTCTCTCTTTCCCTTTTCCCACAGATTTTATCATTAGAATTATTTTCATTTGATGGGAAATTTTCAAGGGATTCCTTCTTTCAACGATTGCGATAACGAAAATTGCTGATTATTCATTATATTTCTCGAAATCGTTGATTATTATTATTATTATTATTATTATTGTCAGTATTATTATGATCATTATTAATTTTAATATTATTATTATTATTATTATTGTGTTGTTATTATTTTACGTTCTGTGTTCTTTTTTGTTCCGCGTTTCATTATAATTATTATATTACCAAATGGAACGGAAGGAAAAAGTATAATTGGAAATATTTATCGAACTATAGGACGCATAAAGACCTCGAAGTTGGATCGATTGATGTAATATGCGTATGTTTACATACGCACGTACGAATAGTTTGCGTTATTTAACGGAAATATGAATATGTATTAGACAGATGTTCGTTGATGCGTTAACGAGGATCCTCAATGATTTAACGGAATTCGTCGTTTTGGAATCTGGATTCGTGGCAATGCAAACGATCGTTTTACTAATTACTCGACAAGAGTTTTAATTGAATAAAAACAACAGAGAAGAAAACCGATCAGAAATTAAAAGAAAAAAAAAACAGGAAGAAAGTAAAAACAAATCTAAAGTTAATCTTCGATTTAAAATTACACCTAAACTCGTTTTCTTCTTTAAATTCGAGAAGAAACGTTTAGAAGACGATCGAATACGAAAGAAACATTTTCTTTTTTTTTCGTTCACGGAGTATCTCGAATTAGTGAGAAGAATTCGTGATTTTCTTCTAGAATGTGTCGATTCTTAAAAAAAAAAATAAAAAAAGGAGGCGAATTTCTCGTGGTAGGAATTTCAAATTAATCTAAGAAGAAAACATTTTTCGCTTTTTTCGTGGTCACGAACAAGTCAGATCACGAAAGCTAGATTTCAATCTAAAACGTTCGATTTCGAAGTCGTTGATAAGAAAATAAAATAAAGAGAGACGAACGAACAAGTATATATATCTACCGGCTGTCTTAATACAGTCTAAATAGAAACATATAATTTTTTTTTCCTCAAACAATTATCTGATTTAACTCGTATAACGCGAGGATGGTATTGCGTCCAATTTTTATTCCACGATTATGATAAAATGTACAACAATTATTATTTAATATTACATAAATTTATATTCGATTACGCTTTGTTGATAATTTCGATTGGGATTACATTTAACTTTACTTAACCGTTGGAGAAAAATTCATTCGTCATTTCACAAAGCGTAATTGTTAGGAATTTAACGTAGGAACGTTATCAAAAAATTCTGCATTCAACAAGAACGTTGAAAATCGACAAAAAAGTTTGATCAACCAATTGGTCAAATATATATACAATACTATTAATATAATTGATCAAATATAAATAATACTAATTGTATTAGATAATTAATTTCGAATTTGTTTGATTAGATAAAGAAATTTTTCGGACAACCCCTGGCATGTATAGAAAAAAGAAAAAAAATGGAGAAAAATATAAAGGATATAAAGGTATAGGTGAAGTATAGGGAGTGTGAAAAAACAAAAGGTAGTTCTCTGATAGCCCGTTTGTTTACCGGCTTGGATCGTCACCAAGCCATTTTTATTGGCAGCCAGTCAGGGTGTCGGACAAACGTCGGAATGGTGTTCGACGTGGAATTCGTTGACTGCGTGAATCGTACTGAAGAACAGAATGGCACTACCAGTTCGTCGTAGTATGAGGAAAAACGTAAAGAGAACGAATTCGGAAGCAACCAGAATTTGAGGATTCTTTTTTTTTTTAAATGGTCAACTACATGACGGATTGTCCTGTGTCCGAAGGATTTCGTGAATGAAGCTTATACGTTCAAAAATCCTTCTTTTACAATTAGAATAAAAAAAGATCCTACGTATACGCGTATTTGTATATGCGTGTACACGATAGTGGTATAGGTGAAACAAGATGAGCTAGATAAGCCACGAATTTTATATATTCAATCGGATGAACAAAATGTTACCATTCTTAATAATAATGCACTTATTGTCAAAGATCAAACGATTATTTTTTGTATCGTTTCGTAAGATTGAATTTTGGTGTTCTTATATTTAATTAAAATTATCTTTAATTATTATATTCTATTTTAATGATACACGAATAGGTCATTGAAAATGTTGAAAAGTCGATAAAAGATAATTGAAAGATATGAAAAAGGTCAATCTTAAAAAAGAAACATCGATCGTGTCGTTAATTGTCTATAATCAATATTACAATATATTTATACGATACTTTTATTCTAAGTTTTATAATTAAAAAATATGAACAAACACTTTCCGATATTAAACAATATTATTATATTGTTGTAAAATAATAACAATACTAATTATCAAAAAGGATCTATGACGAAAAAGTAAGGAAGGAATAACAAAATTCTGTTATATAATTCGATACGATTGGTTTGTTCATTCGATTGCTCATCTCTCACGTTTTAGATGGGTTCCATTTGACGCTAGTTAGTTAGTTCTTTCTTTTTTCCGTTTCTTCTTTTGACAAAAAGAAAACCAAATCACGAGGGCTCCGCCCTTTCGTGCGTAACTTATAAATCAGATTTTTTTGTTTTATTCTTTTTATCCTCGGGCTAACTCGAGCTTTGCAATTTGTTCTACTCGATATGCGGTATAGTACACAGCCAGAGAATTTTCTTTCTATCGATGTCTGGTGAAAAGCGATTCGACATTGCGTTCTACACTACAAGATAGATATACGTTATATTCCCAAACCGACACCAGTAAAACGTGAGGAATCCACTCGACGAGATACTCTGAAAACCAACCCACTTCCACTCTTCATCTATTTCTCTCTTTCTTTATTTCCCTCTTCGTTCGTTCTGTTTTCATTTCTTTGGGTTTTTTTCTTTTTTATTTCCTATAACACGCATCCCCAATAAATGATTATAAACTATACTATACTATATATACCTATATAATCCTTACACTGTGACAGGAAGATAACTCGTTTTAGTCTCGTTATCATTCCTAACGTGTACGTTCGTTCGCGACACGCATTTCAAAACCATTATAATGTATTCCATATTTTGCAAAATATCAACACCGAACAATAGACTATCAATTTGTTAACAGTCAAATTATTTTTTTTTATTATTTTTCTTTCTCTAATTTCTCTCACAACTTTTTTCTCTTTCCGTCTTTCTATTTTTTGTTTTTGTTTTATGAATAGAGATAATCGTTTAGAAAAATTATTTTACAATTTAATTGATATTACACGATGAAAAAATTAGACATCATTATATATTTTACATTTAAAAAGGAAATATATACACGGCATATTATAATTTAGTAAAATTGTCAAAACGTATAATGTACGTAATATAAATAATTAGATATGAAACTCAATTCAATCGTGGAAATATATATGAAGGGATTTATTCGGTGTACAAGATAACGAGTTAATTTAATAAAACAAACAAGCGGAAAGAGAATTTAAAAAGAAAAAATATCTCTCGAAATGACGTAAATGAAAAATCATGTGGAAACATTTCTAAAGTAACTATATTCTAACAGAAAATAGAAATGAAAATATGAGAAAGGAACGTAATGTGATGGATATTAACGAATGAGCGTAAAAGCGGAAATAAAAATAATACAAACATAGAAACGAAATGGAAGGAAGGAAGGAAGGAAAGAAGGCGGGAAAGAGAAAGGAAGAATTATAAAAATTTGCTAAAAGTATTAGATCCAATTAAAATCGAAAAAAAAAAAAAAAGAAAAAGAAATAAATAAATCTAGATGAATCACGGAAAAGATTGAGCCGAAAGTTAAATATTAAATCGTTCGAGGAAATTAATAAATGAAATAGAATCGTGTCTTGAAAGAAAGAAAGAAAGAAAGAAAGAGAAAAAAGGTAAAAGAAAGTAAATACTCCTCTTAAATTCGTAATTGATTGATCTAATTTGATAGATACCATTTATCAATCTGTTTACTCTAGTATTTTATCTATTTAATAAGATAGAGAAAACAAATTATTTCGAAACTAAAAAAACGTCTTGATAAAATATCAAATAAAAATACTTTCCTAGAAAAATATATACGATCTTTTTCCATTAAATAAAATAAAATAATAGATCCAATAATTCATTCTTAAAAAAGAATAATGTTTTTCACCCACTTCGACAATTTAAAAATATATTATTCAACTCAACCCCCATATATATCTTTTGCGATACGTTTCGAACTGTATAAATAAAGAAAGACCAATTCTTTCAAAATACTTACAATCAAAATCTTCACACACACACACCTTTCCTATAATATATAATACCTAAATTTCAAGATATTTACAATACTATTAATCTCTCTTTATTTGTTCAAACCGATATAATTCTTATCCCTGTCATTGTTCTAACTTTAACCCTTCAATCGCGTTCGCAATTCCCATTACCAAAACTCTCTTCCCGAAATAAAAGGGGAATGGAAAAAAAAGACAAGACAAATGATGAGTAAAGAAGAAGAGGAAAAAGAAAAAGAAGAAAAAGAAAAAGAAGAAAAAGAAGAAGAAGAAGAAGAAGAAGAAAGAAATAGAAAATAAAAAAGAGAGAAAGAGAGAAAGAGATATCTTTTTCTCTAGGAAACGAAAGAAAAGTAGAATATCGATTACGTACGAAGTAGAAAAGCGATCGGCCGGATGGGCCCATATCGTAGGGGCTTCCCTTTTTTCCCTTTTTTTTTCAACCCCTCGAAAGGCCATCTACGGGTTATTTCGTGCAAGCACGCGAAACTACGGTGTACGAAACGTTCGTCGTTCCGCCACTCCTTCTTCCATCC